CAAATGCCAAATTGTTGGGATTTCCAGGCCCTGAGGTGCCAGATGCCCAGCTTCTAACAGTCACAAAGTTGATAGTTTATCTCCTGAAAATAGCCAGGGCTTTTAGTCCACTGTCATCCTTGGAACGTGGCCGGAGGGGTGGAGGGATAGCTGTGAGTCACACTCAAAGGCTCTTTGTGATCAGTTCCCCAGACCTCTAGAGAGGAAGGGTACAAGGAAGATGGTTCTGGAGCTGCCTGCCTTGAGTGGCTTTCGTTTAGGTAGAAGCTAGTAAGGAATGTTCTTTGAAATGTCTGCTGTGTTGAATTTTGGATATCTTAATTCATTTAAGAAAACATTTTAGGAAAAAGAGTACAATACAGGGGAAAGAGCACACATTCTAGAGGCAGGAGACGGGGTGGCTTTCCCCTCAGTCTCTGTAGCCTCAAAGACTAAGTCAAAAGCGGGACTAGCCAATCACCCCTCACCTGCGGCATCACACCCGCCTCCCCAGGGATGTTGTGCTAGGAACCATGGTCTGCAGGCGTATTTCCTGTCTCAGGGTGAGTGAGTTGCAATCAGGTGGAACTCTACCTAGGAAAGTGTTCTTGCCAGCGCATCCAAGCCACAGCTCTAGTGGCCTAAGATGAAAGGGTGATTTGCATATGAACCTTGTGTTGTTCATGAAGCAGCAAGTCCCTGAGAGGGAGTCATAACGTAGAGAGCTAACATGTCAGGAGAGCAAGACTTTAGGCCCAGCTGTCTATGGGAGGCTGACATATAGCCCCAGGCTATGTCCAAACCTGACAGGAGCTAACTGCTGGATTTACCTGAAGCTTCCCTAAGGAACCGTGTCCTGGCTATCAAGTACACATCCTGGTTTCTGAGGACTGAGGAGGAGCAGCTTGTCCTGCCTGGTATGGCTGCAGCTACTGTGTCTGTGTGGCACTGTAAGATCCCTCAGCCCCCCCACATACATACACATGAAATTATGACAGAAGGCAGGCCTGTGGTGGCAAGTGCTAAGCCACACATTCCTAGAGCAGTTTTCCCACACGAGTGCCCTAGATGCTTCCTGGATTGCTGGCTGTGTAGCTGTGGCTAAGTTATTTTGAACCTCTGTATCCTGGAAATTACAAGTGCAGTGGCCCATCTCTGCTCTGCATAAAGAGGCTGTGTGACAGGGAGGCCATGCTGGGGCCCAAGGTGCCTCATTATCCATTTCATGATATTAGGGCTCTTCTCTTTCCTCTGGAGATACCCGCTAAGCAGGAGAGGGAATAGCTAGAGGTGCCCATGCCTGTTGGTTGTTTCTGTTCTTTATTTTTTAGTTAGTTAATTAATTAAGTTTTTTGAGATAGGGTTTCTCTGTGTAGCCCTGGCTGTCCTGGAACTTGCTCTGTAGCTCAGGCTGGCTTCAAACTCACAGAGATCTGTCTGCCTCTACTTCCCAGGTGCTGGGATTAAAGGCATGTGATAGACATGTCCCCCACTCCACCCCAGATGCCTGTTGGCTTTTAAAGACTTCTTTCCAGCAAGGCTATACTATGGGTGCCTGGCAGTACCATGCTTCTTAGCCATTTCCACAGTGGGCCTTATTACCAGAGACTGGCATGTGGAGATTGCCTGGGGTGAGCTCAGAGCCCATCTGCCTTCCCCTGTGCTTCTTAGGGAATGACCTCTGAAACTGTCTTCTAACAACAACAGGACCCAACAGGAAAGGACCCAGGCTTCACTGCAAGCATCAGCAAGACCAAAGTATCCCTAGTCTGGCTAATCCTGAGGGAGACAGGACAATGTCTAGGTGTGAGGCCTGGGAGACTAGACTAGGAACTACCTGGATCCCTCATCCTAGCTCTTAGCAGGTACCCCCCGACCCAGGACCAGCCTGTCACTATCTGACTATGGCTGGGAACAAGTCATGAGTTCAGCTTCAGATAAGAGACTGGGGCTACCTTGGCCTTCTGCAGAAGGGCATGCTGATTTCCCAAGCAGCCACAGAAATCAAACAAAACATCACTCTAAACTTGCTAAAGGGAAACCAAAGGCTATGATGGCCTGAGTGCAAAGGTGTTTAATTGTAGAGGTGTTTCTGGCTGGGTGATGGCAGCAAGTCAAGGCTCTGTTGGGAGAACAGAGGGGTTTTGTCTTCAGAATTTGCCTGAGCTGGAAGAGAGCTGATAAGCACTCTCTGTCCATTGGTTGGACCAAGGCTCAGTGCTCGAGACCATTTGCCTTTTTCTTCCATTTCAGACCAGGCCCAGGAAAGGTAGGGCCTGTCCACCTCCATCCTTCTCCCTCCTCTGTCTGCCTTTGTGTGGCCACTCAGTGGTGAGATGCACTGACATTTAGGGAGGCTTTGCTGACACACACACACACACACACACACACACACACACACACAGAGAGAGAGAGAGAGAGAGAGAGAGAGAGAGAGAGAGAAACATTGGAGTACACACAGGTCTTGTGCCTTCTGCTTCCTTAAATGGCATGGTGAGTGAGTATGGCACCCTTAGGTACAGCAGACTACAGGTGCCACAGCTGTGCTGGGATGTAAAGAGCAAGGCCAGGGCCATTTGAGAGGCTAAGAACAGGTCTATGCCCTTGGGGCTTTGTACAGACCCAGTTCCGTCAGGGACCAACTAGTAACTTGGTGTCCCAATGCCCAGGTATACCTGGTAAACTTACAAAGCCTTCAAGATGGAAGACAAAAGTCTCAACTCTGAGCCATTGGTGCCTTCCAGAAGACATGGTCATGCATCTCAGTGACTCCATAGTCTTTCATCTGCCAGACACTGAGCAAGCACACTGGAGTATTCCACATAGTGGCCAGACAATGCTCAATGTATTCCTGGTATTTTGTTATGCTGGCTTCATACATTCTGACATTGTTCCAGAAATTTTGACCCTTCCAGAGAAATCTTGTTAGACTTCTATATGGAATTTGAGGAAGACATGATTGGAGGCAGGGTAGATCCTAGACAACTTCACACACCTGCCATCTCCTCACTGAGTTCTGGAGACCGTGGTTTTCACTTAAGGTCAAGGAGGGCTCTGGCAATGTTGGCGACATCAGAGCACATTGTACTCTCCTGACATACTCCTATGAAGCTATGACTGTTCCCATCTCTTCATTTGAAGAAAGTTGAGGCTCCGAAGAGTTAAAAAAACAAAACAAAACAAAAAAAGAAAATACCACCTTTTGTACATTTATTTTTGAACTCCAAATGTAGAGACGGTCAAGGATGATTTTGAACTTCCAGTGCTCTAGTCTCCACCTCTTGTGTTCTAGGATTGCAGACACATGTCACCATACCTGGTTTTGTGCATTTCCAGGGATCAAATGCAGTGCTTTGTGTGTGTTAGACAGACACTACCAGGACTACATCTCCAGCCAATTTAAACAGCTTTCTCAGCAAAGAGGGGAAAGTGGAGCCGCATGCGGATCCAGGTGTTTGTCCCCATTTTGTTTTGGCTCAGGAATGTCCCGAGGTGGTTGAGTTAGAAACCAGAGATCTGAATTTGACAGGAGGTCTGGGTGACTGTGACACCAGCCTGGCTGCAAACATGTTTGAGCCTTCATGTGGTGCCCAAGGGCAGTTCTCCCTCTGGGAGTTCTGTCAGAGCACAGCACAACACACCCTGTCTTTGACCTCTGATGTAAACCAGGTGTGGGTGCAGATGGCATGGTCATCAGGCATTGAACACCAGGGCTGAGGAGAAACTGTTTACTCTAGTCTCCTTGTTTTAAGATGCAAAGACTATGATCAAAGGAGGCTCAGTTTACCTCGGGCCCAGTGCCATGCACACATTCTGCATATTTCATGTCCTAGAACTGTCAGTTGGGAGCAGACTAAAATAAGGCCTACCCAGAGCCTTAGATGAGGAGTACAACATGACTTGCCTCCTGCTCAAAGCTCACCGACATAGGAAGCAAGATTTTAACCCAGGACTGTCCACTCCAGCACACCTCTACAACCCCACATCGAGACCAGGTCTTTCTTTCAAGGCACCATGGTAGATGCTGTGCCATGAGCCTAGCTCCCCCCACTCCTACATGTCCATCCTTGATCTGCCCTCTTGCCACCCTCATACACACAGGTTCAGCTCAGTACTGGTGTTGATTTTTTAAAATGTGAAATAGGTACAAAACAGGATCTTTTCAATAAAAATATCTCCTTGCCAACAAAGCAGTTGGTACCCTCTGCACAGTCTTAGGTTAACTCAGGTGAATTCAGAGAACCTAAATTCCAGGGACTTGGCCCCTTGAGGGGAATTCTCCAGCCCACTTTCCCTGTGCCAGAGTGTGAAGCAGAGGCCTAGCTCGGCCCAGGTACCTTCAGCCTGTGACCCAGGTTACTCAGCCTGTCCCTAAGGAGCTGTAGTCTCAATCAGGTGACTCTTGAAAGAATCCCAGTGCACCCTCTGGTTACACTTCCCAGGATGTGCTCCCAAGGACCCCATTCTTCCATAACAGTGTCCCAAGAATCCCAGTTTATCACGATGTGTTCTGAGGGCATGTGGAAGCCTTGTTGAAAACTAGGCAGCAGTGACCAAAGGAAACTTGTAGTCTTTGGAAAGCAATCCCTTCAATTCCCGAGCCCTTGTAAAGCTTTAACTTTGAACTCAATAGTACTTTCCCCCTGTTCAGCTGTTTATCAAGTGACATCTCCAGAAAGTTAGCTCTGGGCTAATACAGGTATGTGAACCCTAGTTACCAAGACAGGGCAACTGCAAAGCCTCAGAATATCCAGGCCTGGCTTCCTCCCTCTCAGAGACCAGAGCTGACACCCTCGCAGAGCTCCTAGCTTCCAGCTTTTACCTTCTGCCACCTTACTGGAGCACTTCCACCTACCCAGCTCTATGGGCTCCAGCAGCCACCCCAAGGAATTGCTGGAGGGTTATGCAAATCCAGGGCTGGCCTCCACTGGCTCTCTCCTCCTTGTGTGGTCACAGCTGAGGGAGGCCCGGCACCTGGCTCAGAGGCCCATGTGAACTGAGCCTCCCCACCAAGGACTTACCTGATGGCTTGTCAGTGGAAGATGGCAAACTGGTGAGGGCGGGCATGGTGGGTAGAGGCGGCGGCAGCACCTTCAGATTCTGATCGCTCTGGATCTCGTTGGTGGAAATCTGGTTGATGATGCGGTTGTAGGTGGGGGGTTGGTAGACCCGAGGTGGGGTGGCTGGGGGTGGCTGGGGCACGGGTCTGGCTGCAGGCACTCGTTGGCAGTGCTCCTCGAGCTGTGCGATCACCTCTGATTGGTTGTGAGCCAGCATAGTCAGGTGCTGGAACTTGTGCTCCAGGTCCTTGTACTTGCTAGCCAGCTGCAGCATGTCGGCTGTCTGGTTCAGGATCCTGTTCTCCAGCTGGGAGAGCTCCAGCGCGTTGTCTCGCTTGCGAATGATCTCATGCAGGAGCTGCATGTACAGCTGTGTGACTCGAGAGTTCATGTTGCGGCTCTCCTTGCGCAGCAGCTTCACCTCACTCACGATGCCACCGTCCACCTCCACTAGCTGCTGCAGCGTCTCGATCTGCCGCTTCTGCTTGAGCAGCTCATTGTTGAGCAGCTCCAGCTCCTGCTTGTGAACCCGGTTCTCCAGGTGCACCTCGGGCTCCTTGGAGTTGACACAGATGGCACCTGTGACCCGTTGCTGGGGCACAATGAAAGTGTAGGTGCACTTGTCCGGGGACTCGCCTGCCCGCTTGTACCTGTTGAGGTAAATGTACTCTCTCTGTGAACCATCCTCTGTGCCCTCAACGTCATCCTCTGGGCCTGTAGCAGCTCCAACAGTGGCCAGCAGTCCAAGCCACCAGCAGGTCATACACAGTGGCCTCATGGTCCTTGCAGTGTGTTGGTTGGTCTTTGTGAATGAGGTCTCTGAAAGCCTGAGAGTGGAGAAATGAAGTCAGTGGCAGCCAGTGGCCTGTGCCAGGCAGGCCACTCCCCAAATACGTTTTGGAGAGGCTATGTTCCACTATCCTGGAGTCAGAGAGAGAACAGTTGTCGTGGAAACATCAGAAGATGGTGCGGCCCTGCAGAGGTAGATAGGAAAAGGGAACTGCCACTCCAGTAGGGGAGGGGGGCTTTGGGGCGTGTTCAGTCTTTCTCCCCTGCCCTGGTACCCTCTGACCTTCACTCTGTTCCACACTCTCATAACCCTGAGTTTTCCCCATGTTCTGTCTATCAACTCTCTGGTCTCAGCCCTGCTGGATTCAAGTTCTGTAAGGGCAGGTATAGGCTTTCTCAACCTCCTGTCCCTAGAACCGAGAAGGCTTTTCAGCAAGTGTTTGCTAAATGAATGAGTGGCTAGACACAGAATGGGATGTCCGCATTTAGTGGAAAGTGTCAGCCGAGGATGTGTCTGGTCACATGGCTCTGCTCTGTGCGTTAGCCAAGCTGCACAGCCCCAAACAGGAATGATCTGAGCTCTTTTAAACCCAAATTCTTATCACAACCAATGTCTTCATAGCCTCAATCATTGCGACGTGATTAAATAGGGAAGGAGCAGAAGTTAGGCATGTGTCCCTGGCTTGTCCCTTCACCATATGTTCATCACACAGTGCGATGTGCCAGGCAGTGTGCTGGGTGCTGGGGATATGGCTGCCCTCACGAGGCTTCCATATCACCAGAGTTCCCAAGAACTGAGAGGAGGAGCAATCATGTGTTGTGAAAGGGTATGACAGGGCCCTGACCCAACAGAGAGGTCAGGAGCACTTCCCTGAGAAAGTGACCTTTATACTGACTCTTGAGAGATGAGCAGAAGCTGGATAGGCCAAGAGGGATGTTAGGATGTTCACTGTCCCTCCCGCCAGGCTCCTGGGTGGCACTGACCCGGCAGGCAGTTATTCCCATCTGCCCCATGTTGTCATGGTTTTTCTACACTCCTGCCACTGTCTCTCTCTTGACCCTACACCCCCTCTCCAGCTCCTGTTCTATTTCTCTTCCTCCTTCTTTGGCAGAGCCCTCCAGAGAGTTGTCCACACTCACAGTTCTCAGACAGCTGTCCTCTTCCTGTCCCCTGCTCATCCTACCCCATCAGTCTCCACTCTGCCTACCCTGCCAGTGGTCTGTACGCACATTCCTTTTCCTCCCTGCACCTCCCTCCCATCCTGCTTTCCCCCTATACCCTGCCCAGTTTTTTCTGTGTTAGTAAATAGCAGCTGTTCCAGTCACTCAGGCCACAGCCCTCAAAGTTAATCCTCAGCTCCCATCTGTCCCTAACCCCCTCCTCTAATGCACCACAGAGGTCTGATAGCCATAGCTTAGAATGACCCCCAGTGCCTCTGCTGTCCTCTGCCACTCCCCACTGTCACCTATACTCCCTGCCTTCACTGTGTGCCTGGATCATTGCAGTAGTCCCTATCACACACCCCTGTCCCTGCCACCTGACAGCCAGAGGGGTCCTTTATAAGTGTTGGATGGAGTCACTCTTCAGTGCAAGACCTTCAGCAGCTTCTCACTTGAAACTGAAAGGTAAGGGCCCTTGGTGCCCTCCCTGGCCTGGCTTCTGTTCCCTGCTAGATTTAATCTCTGGTCCCTTCCCTGTGTGGTCATTTCCTACAGCTGCTCTGGCCTGCTGGCTATCCCTCAGGCTGTCAAGCACACTGAGGACTCAACTCATCACCTCAAGCTTCTCATCCCTGTTTCTTTGTTGCTTACTTCCTTTCCCCTTCTCAATGAGACACTCTTCTACCTCCCAAACTAATGTAAGATTGTTCCTCCTCCACTTCCATTCTAGAGCCCTCTTTACTAGGCTTTTGCTGTCTCTCCCCACAAATGGCAGCTCCTCTCAGGGAAGTCAGTTTTGGTTCCTGTACCATTTACAATGTCTACCGCCTGACCCAGAATACAGACACTTGGTCAATATGTGGTGATGGGGTGAAAAGACAGTCACCAGCAGCTGCAGTGCAGTGGAGAGAACCATGAGACAGAACTAGTAAGTAGGGGAGCCCATGAATGGCAGAGGCCATCAGCCTATGCAGTGGAGGTCACAGGCCACATTCACTGTAACATCTCTAGCATTCACGGGTTGAGTGTTGCCACGTGCCCGATATGGGCCTTCTTTCTGTGTTTTTACAGTGTCCTTTGATGGCAACTGCTCTGCTTTCTAGTTTTTACAACATGTATGTATTTGCATGTATGTATGTAGGGCACAGTGCTGTGGCATACTTGTGGAGATCAGAGGATAACTTGCAGGAGTCGGTTCTCTTTCTATTCTGTCTGTTCTGTGCATCAACCTCAGATCTTCAGGCTTGCTGCTAAGAACTCTTACCCACTGGTCCATCTTACTAGCCCTAGATACTCTTAATTCATATCACAGAGCAGGAAGCTGAGACTCAGTGTTCAAGTCTCAAGATCACAAGGCCAGAAGGTGACACAACCAGAATTCAGCCTGCGCTGATGGCTGTTAGCAAATGAACACAACCAGCATCACCACTAATTGCATAATATAAATCTGCACTTCATATTTATATCTGCTGAATACTGGCTGTGGCACAGGATTCCATGCGAGCTCCTTCTGGGACTCCTCGGCTACAGGCTGCAGCATGGACCAGCCAGTGGGCAGCTGAAGATCAGACCCTGTTCTCCATGGTGATGTGCTAGGCTGTTTTCTACTAAAGTCCTAAGCTCATGCTTCGTTCTGACAGACAGAGAAGGCATGTTGGGCCAGGCAGAGAGGGTATTTAATGGAGAGCTGCTCTGTAGAGGGGTGGGGCTTCAGGCTGGTTTGACTGTGTTTTCCTGGTTTCCAAAGCTTTGGCTCCTTGGGAGCTGATGGCCACGCCTCATTGTAGAAGAATGGGGAGAAGCTGGGCTCCAGGCTAGGGTGCGCCCCCTTGCCGCACCTTCTGTGGGCACCTTATCTGCCTACTTGGTGACAAACACCTCTGTGCTATGGCCAAAAAGCTGCCAGAATGCCAGGGAGGCAACTTGGCACCAGAGGAAAAAATTGAATTCTAAAATTCCTGGGTACCCACACCCGGAGGCTGTGCTGTCCCGTTTATGATTGAGTTTTGTCCCTTCCCAAGTGTGGGTCCTCACTACTCTTGCCTTTGGACTGGAGGTCCTGAAGACTGAGTTTTTTTGGTTTTTTTTTTTTGTTGTTGTTGTTGTTATTTTTTTGTGAAATGGGGTGTTAGCACACATTGCACACTGGGTAAAGAGACATTGAGCCTAAGAATGTTGTGGTGGCCACATGATAGCAAGAACAGCAAAGCATCACCGAGGAGTGCAGATAATGGCTGTACAGTCGGTAGAATGCCATTGCCCTCTCAGAGGAAATACCACTAATGGCCCGCTTCATAGAGGACCTAGATCCAAGTTACAAAGCTACTCAGACCACATTCTGACCCAAGCAGCTACCCGGTCCTGGCACATGGTAAGCAGCTAGGGACACACAGGTATGATCACTGAAGCTCTTTTTCTAAAAGAACATTGCTGGCCACCATTAGATTAAAAAGCAAACCAAACTGGATAGCTGCTGCTCATACATGTTCTGATTACTTCAGAGTCCGTTATTTGAATTGTACCTTACTTAAAGGTGAGGAAGCGAAAGCTCAGAAAGATGTTGAAGTCACCTGCTCATATTAGAACCAGTCAGTCACCAAGTATCCTGGCAGGGACTGGGCTTCTGGCTTCGTCTGCATGGACCTGAGCTTGATGGGTGTCTTGGAGTCTGGTAGCTTGCAGAAAGGAATGCAAGGAACCCTGCAGGGGTGGATGTCCTGGCTCTAGGTAATTCAGCAATGATAGTGACCAATAAGACACCTGACATCTATCTAGGCAGGCAGGGTGTCCTGCCTGGAGACACACGGCAGTTAAGAGCCCAGGCTGGACCACAGAGGGGCTTAGCAGTGTTCCCATAGCAAGCATTTGTTTTCCCTAAGGATTCTACCAGTTCTCTGCTAGTTTGGCAATTCTGAATGGGCAGTGATGAGTCTGTTTACTTTTGCTTTCTTGATATTTATTCAGCTAATTACATCTCAAGAGAAGTAACCCCCAGCATTCCAGCCGTCTTAGGCTGGAGACTAGCTCAACTCCAGGCAAAGCGCCCCTTCTCGCTTTCTCCCCATGACCAACAAAGAAAAGCAAACCCAACTGTTTTTCTTGGCTTAGAAATTAAAATAAAAACACCGATCTGAATCGCTTTTCCACATTGTGTGGTGAGGAGTTTCCATTTGTGCTGGGCTTCCCCTCTCCCCACCACCAAGGCTGCAGTGACCACGTGGCAGGATGGCCTCTGCACACGGGGAGGCAAACTCCTAGGCTTGGGTCTCACCCAGCCTCCGGTGGGCTGCGTCTGAGTGTCCCTGTTCAGCCTATGTGGTAGGGCCACACATTGTGTGCCTGTGTCTCTCTTGCCACCACAGTACCATAGCCCAAGCACTGCACTACTTTGTGGTAAGAACCATCGTTTTGGTAATACAGAGCAGTCTCCTGCCCAGGGGCAGACGCTACTGGCCTGGCATATGCTTCTGAGTTCTTATCACAAAGATTAGGAATGAGAAAAGTTCAGATAATAGAAGTAATTCCAGCCAATTATTTCTGTGGCCCAAGCACTTTGACATCGTGTCATTGAATCTTTCCAGCAGCCCTTTGGGAAGGGCCCATTGCTTCAGAGCAGCCATGTAGCCAAGTGCTTGGGGCTCATACCTGTATCCTAGGAAACAGCAGGGCAGTTCTCCACTTGACTACTAAAGCACTGAGGTGTTTTTCCATTCTAGGAGGACACACTCATGGTCTTGTGGGTTTGTGTATTTCTAGTATTCTTTCTTTTTCCTCAATGTTGCATGTGTCTCAGGCTGGCTCTGAATTCCCTGTGGAGCTGAGGCTTAGCCCTGCCTCGCACTCTCCGGCGCTGGGATTAGAGGCATGTGCTATTACC